AATAGTAAAGCATCCAATATCCAAACCAAATAAAAACCCAAGAATTCATTTTGTCCAATCAATTGCATTAGTTAAATGATTTTTTTTTACGGAGAATGTACAAAAATAATATCAATAGTATAATTTTTCCTCCATTAGTTAAAAGTGCTACATTTGACCAAAATTAGGATTTCTGTAATTCGTCTTAATATATAGAGACAGAATTGATAGAAATATAATAACCCCAAAACTCCTAAGAAAAATCCACGAGATTTGTTTATATCCTCTATTTTATTGTAATCATTTTTATGTGTAATTCAAATGAATTAGAGATATATTAATTCACAAAAATAAAAAAAAAGTTGAATTGAAAAAAATACTAAAGTTAATATCTTAATGGTAGAGTTATAAGTAATACCAAAATAGGGTTTTCCTATTATTAATTACAATTTATGTATAATTAAAATTTTTTTTTCTCAATTAAATATTTTTGATTCACTTTTAGAAAAATATTATTGTTAAAAACTTTAAATATATATATGGAATAATAACCATATAATAACATATAGTATTAGTTCAACCTAAGAATAATCCCTTAAATCTCTTAGATATATTACAACAATAAAAAATATTATTCTACATAGCATCTCTATAGAAATATTAATGTCCAGCTTTTCAATATCGGTTATACATTAGATTAATAACAGTATTGCATTAACAAAATCCATAATAATATTTAATGGCATCTAAAAATATAAATTATTATTAGAGAAATCATTCATATTTCACTGTTGCAAAAAAATTATTCATCATTAGCATCAAGAATAACTAAATTCTATTACTTGAAAACTAATTATAACATAATTTCTAATGATGAACATCATTAAAAAGATTTATATTTACTTTTCTTAATCACAATATAAAAATAATCAATATTTAAATATTGTCTATATAAATTAGAAGAGAATTAATTTTTATTTTATATAAACCCAATCTAAATTATAATTTATATTTTTGGTTTTAATTAAAAGAGAAATTAATCAATATACTTATAACAATTAATAGTATTAATTGTTATACTATAGTATTGAAATATTTCCAACATTCAATTAAATTAATAAATATATATTTTTCATAATTTTAATGGTATTGAAAAATTCAATTTTCTCTATTTCATTATTTATTGTTATTTTTGAGTTTCCTGATTACTCAAAAATAGTTTCATATTTATTGCTATATTCTTGATAATTATATTTAAAATATCATTATTAACAGTTTAACATATACTTTTTGTATTCCTTATATAAATGGAATGTTGATTAATAGATTTTAAATTTCTATCTCATTCCTTATATTAAAAAGAATTCAACATCAAAATCA